GTTTCCCATAAAAGCATTGAAGCTAAGTGCATGAACCTGTCCAACTTACAACAAAAGGGGTGTTCAAGTTCCAGGATAAAGGGGTGTCCAAGATATAGGGTGTTGTGGACATGTAAAATTATAGGATATTCGCCGGTTCCAATTAAAAGTGTCCAATATAGAGGGGTGTCCAGGATATAGGGGTGTCCAACTAGAGGGGTTTTACTGTATTTCCATATTTTTATATAAATAAATATTTTGGGCTATATAAATAAAATTGAATAACGTGTCTTAAAAGAACGTATAAATGAATATCTCACATGTATGCACAGCTAACAGGACATAACGCTAAGTGACATGTGCTGTCCAGGAAGCAATCTTCTTCATTTTCATGCAAGGATCCCCAAGCTCGAGCAATTTATGTACAAGATGAGCATACGTAAGTGACATTTGTTGACAGATGGGGAGTCACCCATCTGTGTTTTGTCTGGCCAACTAGGAAATCAGGAGGGTAAAAAAATCTGTACTGTTAGGTGCTAAGTATTAACAACTAGAGATATTAACAAAGCCTCTCCTTCTTCTTAAATGAAATATTTTTTACTTTTAAAGAACATAAAAAAAATAATATTTTCTAAATGTTAATACCTAAAAACCCATTTTCTAACCATTACTAAGTTACGAAAAATCAAGAAAACCCCTGAATAACCAATATAATGCAATATATACAGCCTAAAACCACCCATATACAAGGTTCTGCAGCAGCTGATGGAGTTAATATGAATTATGTACTGAACACAAATATGAAGCAGTTCTGTAATTATCACTGCACATGAACAGAAGGGCTACGAGAAGTAATATGAAATAAGTGGCGGGCTTGAAAACTCATTAATTCAGGCTTCCAGAACTGAACAATACACTGTTAAGTCAGATGCCGACAAGTTTCAAAACTAAACTCAGTAATTACATTTTGTTCTTAATCAGAACTCTGCATCATCATAACAATCTTCTGGGTCAAGACCTAGTTACAGTGAAGTTATGTACATTAAACATTCAAAAGATCAAGGTCAAACATGTACTATCTTGCAAAAGATTTTACAAATCCAAATACAAAGGTCAGTCAGTAAAAATATCTTTAATCACCACTTCCTTAGTAAATATTCTATTTATGTATAGCATAAGTTTTCATTTTTCTCTCTCACTGTATCGATATAGTCTAATAAGTACTCAAATGCAACGGGTCAGAAAAGTAATGACTTATCTAAAGGAATTATCCCAGTATGTTCCTGAAAGTATCAATGGAAGTGATGACAACCTCTGTCAAAGCCTTGACACTTTATTTACACACCCATGTCAAGTAATCATTTATGACACAAACCCTAAGCACAGAAAAACACGGATGCTTGCATACACATGTGGTTAACAATAACAGCATCAAAATCACAATGCAACAATATCTGTAAAATACAATTGCCTTATTTCCTTCAAACCTTAGGAAACACAATCATTGACAAGGGGCCATACGGTGATTAAAAGTGTGTGTATCAAACAAGTAACAACCATTAACTACTAATCTAATGGAAGAAGGTAACAGCTGGCAGCTATATTTTAATTCCTGAATTAACAATTTAGATGTAATCTACTCTTGACACAAAAACAAACTAGACCATGTGTAAGCCATAATGCATGGAAGATGAAGATTACATAAAATAAAATGTTATGGTCAAGATAAATCCTATGTTACTCTCTCAGCCTTGATAAACATTAAAACAAAACAAAACACTGCATTACACAACAGAAAAAATATATAATTTATTTAGATTCCATATAGCCTTCATAGGCCAAAGCCAAGGATCTAGAACATCTCACAGCACAAATTATACAGTTATGACACTAATATACAGTCAACTACAGTATTATTGCAAAAATAATTATAACTTCTTATACTTATTTATCGTAGCTGAGCATTTCTCCTTTTAGTGCCTGCCATTAATCTGACGACTTTCTTTTGAGTGTAAAATCCTTTTCTGCTGTATGTTGAGTTTCCCCAGAAAATAATTCCATAAGACATGATCAGATGGAAGTAAAGTAGACAAATTTTAAAGTGTATGTTATCACCAGTAGTAGCCAAGTGTGCTGAGCTTAGTTTAGGGATAATACATTGAATATGTGTTTCTCAATTTACGTAACTGTCAATTTGCCATGAAATGCAGTTGTTTCTACTTCTTCAACTGTGTTATCCTCATACCATATACCTAGATTAACACAACTCTGCATAGTACAAAATTTCATAAAATTTGTTTTGTCAAAAGTTTATTAGTTTAATCCATTTGTTCAAGCTAGCATAGGCATCATTCATGCAAATTTGAAAACAGTCAATTTCTGAATGTGAGATATTAGTATCATCCACAAAAAGCATGAGTTTAAAGTAAGAGTTAATGGTTGGCAGTAAATCATTGATGTATATGAAGAAAAGCAGAGTGTTGAATCTGAAGAACTCCATATCTTATAATGTCCCAATTTGAATAGGTGCTATTATTTGAAAGTGGTAATTTTATTTTTACTTGTTACCTTATGTAATGAAGGTACAATTTAAACCACTGACCTGCTATATTTCGAATTTCATAAAAAACGTGGGTTTGACAGTAATAATTCATGATCTACACAATTGAATGCTTTAGATAGATCACAAGATATTCCACAAACATTTTTTAATAAGAGCAATTAAGATTAATCTGTAAAACTGAAAGGGCCTCTATCAGTTTTGAGAGTTGAAAGGCAAATTTCCAATTCTCTGAATGACGCTTATTATTCATGGTTTATGTAATGCTTATAATCTCCTCTGTCCATGAATCAGAACTGATATGCTGGTAAACCAAGCTATTTTCACATTATACGTACCCAGAATATGTCATTAAATCCAAATACACTGCATATCATGAAATTAACAACTATTTTTAAAAAATTGACTTCCAATGTACCTACCTGCTCTTGCATCTGGTGAAATAAAAAATTCCTCGTCATTATTTAATACTGTTTCTCTGTCGTCTACACTTCCAAATCCTAAGCAAGGCATTGTCACTCTGTCAGCAACACAATGACAATACACATCTGTACTTTTACTTGACGTTTACTATGTCTCATAACACAGCTGACTTACTACGAAACATACCAATCCCTCTTACTCCATGCGGCCTTGAAAATATTATCATTGTGAATCATTACTGCAACGATTATCTCTCGACCCTTGTGACTCACTTCCCAGTTCCTGTCCTCGTTGATTTCGCCAACAGCAAAGACTACTTAATTATCTGTGGAACAGAATGACTGAGACTAAAGCAAAGAAAATTTTCGTTCTATTGTATCTTGGGATCCATTCTAAAATCACTTCCGTCATGGCGGTATAACTCTGAATGTTTCAGATTTTGACTCAGAGTTTAAAACACAGGAAGTGTTATACTATTTTGGATTGAATTTTAAATCAATTTTTAAATAACACTTACAAATCCATACATCTTGATAACTGAAATTTATGTCGTTATTAGGTTATTTCCTCTACTCATTGATACCATAAAGCCACATGGGCAAGTGAATGTACAAATCCACTCATTCTTAACCCTAGTACAAAGAATAGAATAGAATTTATTTTCGTTACATGTACCATTCATAGCACACGCGAAGGATGTGGAACATGTCACAGTATGAAATATTTATTGTAGTAATTGTTTATATTCATTTTGTCCTTCAAAGTACTATGGTGTGCAGTAACGACCCAATTCCTTGGGTTTCTATAGTGTAAAACTGCTGACTATAATGATTATCAACTTTGATTCCACTTTGCATTATGAATTTCTTAAGACTCACTGCAACTTTCTGTTGTCTTACTCAACCTTATATCTTAATTGCGTCATGTTTGTGTTATATCAATACATATATTTATTTTTCCAGTCTATACACAAAACTTGTTTTAAAATAATGTTGTTAAAATTATTTATAACATTTACAATATAAATTGCATTATGTTATATTTTATGGCGC